GACAACAGTACAATATTGTGGTTAAGCACCCAGCCCTAGAGCCAGACGGGTTCAAATCCCAATTTCAACTTCAATTTTTAAAAATAAATAAATACTTATTAACTAATTAATTTTTAATTGAAATTAAAAATAAAATTTTAAAATATTTTGAAACAATAAATAATACAATTTTAAATCCCAATTCCACACTTACTAGCTGTTTAACCCCCTGCAAGTTACTTAACCTGAGCAGCAGTTTCCTTATCTGCAGAATAGAGGTGACAACAGTACCATTCTCACAGCGCTGTATCGTAAAGTCTGGCATTATTATCATCTTAAACTTTAAATGTAAATTTACTTTAGAATGACTTGCTCAAACACCCCTTTCTACCAGGCAATACATAGATCATATGAAGCTTCTTCTGTAAGCATGTGGGAGGTCGCCAGTGTCTTCTGCGTCTTCTCCAGGCCACCTCTCAGGCTTTTCTTTATTCCTGGCCTCAAGGCATTTCCTCATGCCCTTCTTATCTAGACCAGGGGTCAGCAAACTATGATGGGGGCCCAAAACCCAGCCCAGGGCTTGTTCTCGTAGTGGAGTTTGGCTGGAGCACGTCCACACTCATTCGCTTACACACTGCCTAGGGTTGTTTTCAAGCAACACCACAGAGCTGAATGGTTTCAGCAGAGACCATAAGACCTGAAAAACATAAAATACTTTACTGTCTAGCTCTTTACAGGAGAAAAGCTTTGCCCCTCCTCTAGGCTTTGAGTCATTCCAGATTTATGCCCAGCTATGTTTGGAGGGTGGAGACCCACACCCTTGAGACTGGCCCGAGGGCAAATCAAGATGTGGAGTCTTCACTCCCACCTGCCAGCCTCTAAGGGTTAGCGCTCCACCCCTTCACCTTGCAGCCAGAAGTCCAAGTATCTAGCAAACAGCACACAGGTGTTGGCATCAGCGATAACCTGCCTCTTCCTAGGCATGACCTTGGACAGGCTCTCCCTCAGTGATGTCCCACTGACAGCGTGAAATCAGCTACAGTAGGAATATTTACACCACGGAAATTGGCAAACACTACAAACCAAAATTATAAATATTAATTGCAACTATAAAACATGGGTTTCCTTTTAATTTGGCTTTTCTTTGCATAAGCTAGCTCATAAACAGTAAATTATGTAAATAACATGAAATTATATAAGGTTTGCATAAAATATGAGTGAGAGCGAGAATGTAATACTGTCTGTTGAATACCTTCAAATTGTTGCTTCTGTTAAAGTATTTTTGGAAGGAAAAGAGAAAAGCAGCTTGTCACTTTGAAACAACCACAAAAACTCACATAACTCTATCAGGAAGCAAGGGCAGTGCCCGTCAGGGCCAAACAGACTTCAGTTTGGAGGCACACGTGTCCGCTGCCGGGCAGACAAGCCACCGACCACAAATGCCGGAGCTGCCGCGGGGGGAACACACCAACTTAGGCCAAAGCTGCGCCCTGCACGCAGGGTGGTTTCTGCTGCCATGGGCAAGAGAAAAACTGCTGACGGTGCCAGTCAGTCTTCTCAGCAACTCCAGAGTTGATGCTGTGGGAAACCGGATGATGTGGGTGTGAGAACCAGGTAGACCTGGGGTGGGGGTCCTGGCTTTCTTCATACCAGTGGCTTGTCTGGGGGCGAGTCACTTAAGTGCTATGAAAGGTAAGGCATATAAAGTCCTTCATGTAACAAATGGTAATATTAGTGAAAATACAAACCACCATTTCAACAAGCAGAACCACCTATGGATAAATAAAGACAATTTCCCTTTTTTCCTGCCCACCCAGGCACCATTAGCTACTCTGAGGATAAGTAACAACGGGTTCTGGCTGTTACATTAGCTTTTCTTCTGGTTTTATTCTTAACATTACACAGACTGGAACACCTTTTCTTTTTCTCTTTCTTTCCTTCCTCCTCTTATTCAACAAGTGTTTCTGGCTACTTTGTGCCCGGAGTTGTGCTAAGCCTGAGTGCACGACGTTGAAGAACAGAGGGAGTAACAATAGTTAACGTTTACTAAACACTGACTTGTTTCTGAATCTGAGGTGATTTATTTAATTTTTTATTGAAGTATAATTGATAAACAATATTATATCGGTTTCAAATATACAGCATAGTGATTTGACAGATACACACACTATTAAATCCTCACCTCAACTAGTGTCGCTACTGTCAACACAGATGTTACAGAAACATTGGCTACATTCCCTGCGCTGTACTTTCATCCCCGTAACTAATTTATATTATATTGAAATTTGGGGCCTCTTTATCCCTACCACCCTCCCCACCCACCCACCCCAACTCCTCCTCCATGGTAACCACCAGTCACTTCTCAGTGTCTCTGAGTCTACTTCTGTTTTATTCACTTGTTTCATTTTGTTTTTTAGATTTTACTGAGCATGATACCCTCTAGGTCCATGCTGTCACAAATGGCAGGATCTTTCTCTTTTTTATGGCTGAATATTCCATTGTGTATATGTACCTCCTTTTCTTCATCCATTTCATCTATTGATGGGCATTTTAGTTGTTTCCATATCTTGGCTATTGTAAATAATGTGGCAATAAACATGGGGGTGCATATGTCTTCTCAAATCAGAGATTTTGTTTTCTTCAGGTAAAATCCTACAAGTAGAATGACTGGGTCATATGGTATTTCTATTTTTAATTTTTTGAGGAACCTCTATTTTGCTTTCCACAGTGGTGGCACCAGTTGACATTCCACCAACAGGGTAGGAGGGCTCCCTTTTCTACGCTTGCCAACACTTGTAATTTTTTTCTTTTGGATAGTGGCCCTTCTGACTCGTGTGAGGTGATGATATCTCACTGTGGTTTTGATTTGCATTTCCCTAACAATTAGTGATGTGAAGTATCTTTTCATGTGCCTGTTGGCCATCTGTATTTCTTCTTTGGAGAAGTGTCTGTTCAGGTCCTCCACCCATTTTTTAATGGGGTTGTCTTTTGGTGTTGAGGTGTGTGAGTTCTTTATATATTTTCGATGTTAATCCCTTATTGGGTAAATTATTTACAAATATGTTCCCCCACACTGTAAGTTGCCTTTTTGTTCTGTTGATGGGGTCCTTTGCTGTACAGAAGCTTTTTAGTTTGATGTAGTCCCACTTATTCATTTTTCATTTTATTTCCGTTGCCCTGGTAGATGTGTCCAGAAAAAAATTGCTCATGCTTATGTTCAAGAGATTTTTGCCTATGTTTTCTTCTAAGAGTTTTATGGTTTCATGTCTTATATTTAGGTCTTTAATCTATTTCGAGTTTACTTTTGTGTATGGAGTTAGTGGTCCGGTTTTCCCCACCATTTATTGAAGAGACTGTTTTTTCCCCATTGTTTATTCATGTCTCCTTTGTTATATATTAATTGACCATATATGTATGGGTTTATATCTGGGCTGTCTTTATTTCTGTTCCATTATCTATGGGTCTGTTCTAGTGCTAGTATCATGCTGTTTTGATTACTGTAGCTTTGTACTACAGCTTGAAGTCAGGCAGCATGATGTCCCCAGCTTTGTTCTTCTTCCTCAAGATTGTATTAAGCACTGACTTTTGCATAAGAGACCCACCCCTGCCTGCACATAGCTGACAATCTAGTATGGGGAAACATGTATTTAAAAAATAATCACTCAAGGCCAGAATTTCATAGGATACACTATTTTGTTACTTTTCTCAATTTTTCACTAGAGGAGACTGAGCCACAATGAAACCTAAATGCTGTTTTTAAAAAAATGAAGCTAAAGCTAAATATTAAGAAACTAAATTCAAACATATTTCCTCTGAAGAAGTTTGCTTAAATGTCTTTGCAAAAACTAAGAAAGCCAAACAAAAAACCTATCCTGAATAAAGAGGTGGGTGGAGAAATTGTGGCAGAGAGAGGGACCGAGAATATTATGGATAAATGGTTCAGGAATAATTAAGAGTCCAATTCACTTGAAGTTAATAATACAATTATAGGATGGGGTTTATGGGGCTTTTTAGCCAATAAAACAATTTGGATTCCCTGCAATCAGCTATCACTTAGGCTAGGTAGTGAGTATTTTCTGTTTAAATTCTATACATGGTCCTATTCCACCCACTTTCCACCAAGGGACAATCAATTTTGGTTTGTAGAGCCCAGCTGACTGATTAACAACCTGGGATCCATGAATGTGATAATACAAGTCTATGAGCCATTTAATAGTTGAAAAAACACCAAAAGACTTAACACTTACCTACAATAAGACTGCATACTCATTAAACTGTTACCTGCTTTCTTCAGGAATAATATGTTACTGCAGTAACTGGTTATCTAACCAGCTTAGCTATTTATGGCATCATAGACTTTATCGATGAAATATTGTTTTAAAATGTGAGGTCCATGTTGGGGGAAGCATTGTAATAAAAGAGATATCTGTCTCTGGAAACCTTAAACATCCAAGCTTAGTTGATAAATGTGTTATGTTTAAAACAAAAGGAACTTGGCTGGCTAAATGAGCAGTATTCTGCAGAAATAATTTGTGAAACAAGATTTTCATAAATATCTATACAAATGTCCATTTCTCTAGAGAGAATAAAAGCTTTGCAGACATATCTGCATCTCAAGATGCATATAGTTCTATAAAAGGTCATTTTAACAACCTTTATACGTTTTAAGGGGTGCAGTCTCTGAGTGTTTTATCTCAGACTTCAAGGGGCCACATGGAAAAGTGGAATTGCATTTAGACTGTGGTTTTAATTCAGTTTCAATGGAAGTTAAAACGGTAAAGCACTTAAAATCTAATCTCTTTTTTAGTGTGTTTTTCTTCGCTCAAGGTATGTATGCCTCACATGAGATATTCTTAAATTGTCCGCTATAATCTCAGGCTTTTATGTGCATTTCTGTAGAAGCCTAAAATAATTCGACTTTTTCCCCAGAGGGTTTTATATTTATATTTACTAGAAAGCTATTTGGATATCTTCCTTTAGTGAAGTTATGAAGATTAAAATGTAACACATTGCTTTTACAGAATTATGAAATTTCATGTTGCGAAACGGAAGTTTAAGGAAACATTACGCCCATATGATGTAAAGGATGTTATTGAACAGTATTCTGCTGGTCATCTGGACATGTTGTGTAGAATTAAAAGCCTCCAAACACGGTAAGCGATTAAAATGTTAATTGCTGTAAAGGAATAGCATTAAAAACTGAGAGGAAGTTCTGTTGTAGAGAAAACTCTTGAATCCCGTATGTCTAATTTTTCGTGGACACCCGGACTTTGCTTTCAACATAGGTTTTATTTAAAGATGTCAATCAAGCATTAAAAGCCTCCAACCATACACACAGTGTCTCCATTTCCTCATCTGTAAAGATAGGGATAATATGAGCACCTGCCTCCCAGGTTGTCATGAGGATTGGATTAGTCGATACCTGTCAGTAACTCCTGATAATTCAATCCTAGAACACACGAAAAAGGAGAAAGTAATTCCAATGTAGGCGGATCAAGTCTCCTTGGAAATTGCTTTAAGTCATCCTGTGTTCAGGTTACAATCTCTGCCTAGGTGGCCATGGGCTTCCAAGTCCTTTACTAGAATCATCTATGGCTCCCAGGGTTTTTATAAAGGTGAACTGCTGCAGAATTTTCAGAACTAATCTTAAGTTTCCACCTCATGTGGTGTATATTCTTCAACAAGAATTCCACAGAAACAGAGATGATAGCTTTCTTATCTGCTTCTCTCCCACCTATCAGATGTACAGTAAATGTTCACTGAATAATCTGTTTTAGTAACATGAAGTAATCAGAATTTTGTGGTATTTTAAGTAGTTGAATTCAGGAAATGTCTGGTCAGAGATGGAAACAGGACAGTTACTTTTAGTTGAGAACAATTTTGCCTACAGAAGATTGCCCTAAGTGACTTCACCACATACCAAAATCATGAGAAAATTAGTCGCATGTGTGTGTAATTTTCATATTCAGGAATTCAGCACATCAGCTGGAACAAGTTCATTTGTATTTCCTCTTACATAAGTTAAAGAAAATTGTCTTTAGCTTTTCAAGACATTTCATTCTGGCATAGGGTTTCCTCCATCCTCAGCTCTCGTATAATCAGATCCCCTCTTTCTCTGATAGTGTTGATCAAATCCTTGGAAAAGGGCAAATCACATCTGATAAGAAGAGTCGAGAGAAAATGCCAGCAGAACACGAGACCACAGATGACCTCAGCATGCTGGGCCGCGTGGTCAAGGTCGAAAAACAGGTATGCTCAGCCACGCGGGTTAATTTGTTGGCCAGAATATTTTTTAACCAAAAGTGATTATAGGCAATTGGATATATTTTCATGATTAATATATTTTAAAAGGAATGAAACCAAGAACGAGAGAATGAAATGAAATTTTATTTGGGCCTAGACGGTGTTCTCTAAAGCACTTTCATTTCCATACAAGGAATAGAACATTTCATCTCATCAATTAATACTTGAACAGGAAGATACGGATTTGCAACAAGTAACAAATAGCTGTTTTTTATTTGTGCTTTGGTTATTTTTCATTGTGTGCCTTTTATGTCGCTCTTTAAAAAAAAAAGAAAACCTCACTATGACTAACATGTACCTGGAATGTTGGTTAAACCTGAGACTGTAGCGTCTCGTACAATTTGCCAGAAATCAAATCACTCCCCCATCTTAATCATGTATATTCCAAGTACCAATTCTGAAGCATTTTGTACCTTTATTTTTGAATTCAGAATTACCTAGATTGATAAAGTCTTGATTTCATTATAGAATGAGTTCCTTAGTGTTTTCTTAATGTAGAGTCCCAGAGGGTCTTCACGGATCGGCCTGGGAGGCCTTACGTTACGTTTGTCCGGCGCTCAGATGCCTTTGCAAACCTCAGCTGTCCATTTTAAAGAGCTGGGGCAGGGGTCTGATGGGAACTATGCAGAGGCCACAGCGCCCCTCCTGACCCTTCCTCGGCCCCTGCTCCCTGCCCCCCGCCAGGCGGTCCGAGCTCGGGTGGGACGAGGGCCAGGGCTGCGTTGCACTGCGTACTCAGTACTCAGTGGTATTGACGCACCTGGCCTCCACTGTTCAATCCCAGAAGTGGAGCCCGTTCCGGATGGCAGGCTATGCTCACGCGACCCTGTTTTCCCACGTTAGGTTCAGTCCATCGAGGCCAAGCTGGACTGCCTGCTCGACATGTACCAGCAGGTCCTCCGGAAGGGCTCCGCCTCCGCCCTCACTCTGGCCTCCTTCCAGGTCCCACCCTTTGAATGTGAACAGACATCCGACTATCACAGCCCCGTGGACAGCAAAGACCTGTCCAGTTCCGCACAGAACAGCGGCTGCTCGTCCAGGTCGGCCAGTGCCAACATCTCTGGGGGCCTGCAGCTCATTCTGACTCCAAACGAGTTCAGCGCTCAGACTTTCTATGCGCTCAGCCCTACTATGCACAGTCAAGCCACGCAGGTGCCGGTGAGTCAAAGTGACGGCTCAGCAGCGGGGGCCCCCAACAGCATCGCAAACCAAATACTCGCCGCCCCCAAGCCAGCAGCGCCAGTGACCTTACAGATCCCGCCCCCTCTCCCGGCCAGCAAGCAGCTGCCGGGACCAGAGGCCCTGCACCCGAACCCCGCAGGCTTCCAGGAAAGCGTCTCCGATGTCTCCACCTGCCTTGTGGCCTCCAAGGAAGGTGTCCGGGCCGCGCAGTCCAGTCTGGCCAAGGACCGCTCTCCAAGGAAAAGCTTCGACACAGGAGGAGAAACTCTGCTGTCCGTCCGCCCCGTGGTGCCCAGGGACTTGGGCAAGTCTCTGTCTGTACAAAACCTGATCAGGTCGACAGAGGAACTGCAGGTGCAGCTTTCAGGGAGCGAATCAAGTGGCTCCAGAGGCAGCCAGGATTTTTACCCCAAGTGGAGGGAATCCAAATTGTTTATAACTGATGAAGAGGTGGGTCCTGAAGAGACCGAGACGGACACTTTCGAGGCAGAGCCGCAGGCGGCCAGGGCAGCCGCGTGTGCATCGGACTCTCTGCGGCCCGGCAGGTCGCGGTCATCTCAGAGCGTCTGTAAGGCCGGAGAAAGTGTAGATGTCCTCAGCTTGCCGCCCGTCAAGCTGAAATGAGTCCTTCGTTTTCCTTCTAGGCATAGCGGTTCTTCAGCCACACACGGCACTGCATGAACTACTCTGAAAGCCCTTCTAAGAGGTTAAACAGTGAGAATCGGAAAGAACCCGATTGGTGGTGTGGAAGCCCCTTATCTTTTAACTGCATGAAAATGCATGTTTAGGGATGGCTGAAAGTCAGGGTACAGCGACATGAAGCCCCCCATTTAGGGACGTACCTTGAGTTAAGCATCCTGAGAAATGGAACACTGCTAATGCCACGGGGAGTATGAGAATGTCAAGATGAGACCAGTTCGAAGATCTGAAAGCGGGAGTAACCACCCTCAGATTGCAGGAATTTCTGCTTCGTGATTAAGTACAATATACATTTCCAAAATCAGGCCATAATGTATATTTCAAAACACAATGGCTATCATCAACAGCTGCTAACAAGGTACCGAGTAAAGCAGAATTTGGGAATAGAAATGGCTGCTTATCTCAAGATGCATTTGCCAGCCCATTCCTACCCGGTCATTGTATTATGAACGTCGTCGGAATGTCCGTGCGCGTGCTTCCCGTGAGGTGGCGTGTGGCACGCGGCTTTGCACACCACGCTTATGTTGTTCTTTATGACGAGAATGTTGTTCAAGTAGCCGATGTGCATATAATGACCTTCAGGGCCAGTGGGGCAAACGGACTGACTGCTCGGCACCCTGACTCCCTGGGCACTATTCCCTGTGGCCGAATCACCTTCACACATGGGCGACGAGGCACTGACCAGCGGAAGGGCCAGTGTGCGGGGGCCATCCCCCCGCAGCAGAGCCACCCCAGGCAGACGCTGCCTGTACAAAGGGGAGTGACTACAAGCTGATCCCGCTAAGCTGAGGTACAGGCCGGGTCCCCGAGAATGGGACATTTGAGTGAGACTGCTGGGGGAGGCTTGGAATGAATCCAGACACAACACCAGGAAGTAGGTGACGTTAAAAGAAGATGATGTCCCCCTCAAATGGCAAGGGGAGAGAGACAAACCAAAATAAAAGTATCCGATTTTTTAGAAAATGAATATTGTAGGGACTCCAACTACCTAAACATCCCTTATTCTTATATATAAACAGAGACTTCTGCAAGGTATTTATTTTTTAAGAGGCCCTGAATGGTTTTTGCTATTATGTAGTACATTTTGCACAGGAAAGGCTACAGCTAAACGTGCTTTACTTTTTATACTGTCATGAACATTCTCCGTTTTCCCCAAGACTGTTGCCCCAAATCTGAAGTTACTGGTCCCGTTTCCTGGTGTAAACATGCACAGTTGGAGGGCAGGGAAGCCCGGCAGGGCCGCACATCAGAACACTGGACCGCACATCGGAGCAGCCAAAAGAGCACGGGAACCAAACCAAAGACGTCGTCGGCCGAGAGCAAGCGATGCTGCCGGCCTGTCGGAACCAGGGTGGCCCGCTCAGCCCGGCAGAACTTCGGCCATGGTGAGGATAACAGAACAGAACCTCAGCTCAGCTCAACTCCAGCCCAGAAAGAGTTCAAGAAGCATATTCCCCGGGCATGGTGCTGCCTCCAGGAAAACTCCGCCAGCAGCCAGGAAAAACAGCAGGGGTGTGGATGGCTGTCCCGAGGCAGGAGGGGACTGACCCCACCAAGCCCGCCCAGCTCTCTCCCACAGCCAGCTCCGTCCACCCTGGGCTCTCCCCTCTTCTCTTCTCCATTAGCTGCTCAGCCCTTCCCTGCCTCCAGTTAGGAGCTCACCGGGCCTTAGCCAGCCTCCATCCCCAAGCAAACCACCCCTCTCTGCTCCACCTAAAATGTGCTTCTCAGCCTTTTAAAATCTCTGCCCCTTTTGATAAACTCTGAAATGTTAACAGCTTCTTCTTCTCACCCACCTGGATTCCGGCACACTCCCCTGGAGAGTGTGATTCAGAATCTTCTCAGCTGCTGGAGGCACACGGAACATAGAGTCTAAATTTTACACTCCAGTTAGAAAGGTTTTGTCAAGCTTTTAAAGCAATTGTTTTCATTTCTGAAAGAAACAGGATTTTAGTCAATTATTAAATGCTTTTCATCTACCCATGTCTCCACTCAACGTGAAGTTGTGATACAGCCTCCCAAGGAGGTTGTACACATACACACACACACACACACACACACACACACACTTGGATATATTTTCATGATTAATATATTTTAAAAGGAATGAAACCAAGAACGAGAGAATGAAATGAAATTTTATTTGGGCCTAGACGGTGTTCTCTAAAGCACTTTCATTTCCATACAAGGAATAGAACATTTCATCTCATCAATTAATACTTGAACAGGAAGATACGGATTTGCAACAAGTAACAAATAGCTGTTTTTTATTTGTGCTTTGGTTATTTTTCATTGTGTGCCTTTTATGTCGCTCTTTAAAAAAAAAAGAAAACCTCACTATGACTAACATGTACCTGGAATGTTGGTTAAACCTGAGACTGTAGCGTCTCGTACAATTTGCCAGAAATCAAATCACTCCCCCATCTTAATCATGTATATTCCAAGTACCAATTCTGAAGCATTTTGTACCTTTATTTTTGAATTCAGAATTACCTAGATTGATAAAGTCTTGATTTCATTATAGAATGAGTTCCTTAGTGTTTTCTTAATGTAGAGTCCCAGAGGGTCTTCACGGATCGGCCTGGGAGGCCTTACGTTACGTTTGTCCGGCGCTCAGATGCCTTTGCAAACCTCAGCTGTCCATTTTAAAGAGCTGGGGCAGGGGTCTGATGGGAACTATGCAGAGGCCACAGCGCCCCTCCTGACCCTTCCTCGGCCCCTGCTCCCTGCCCCCCGCCAGGCGGTCCGAGCTCGGGTGGGACGAGGGCCAGGGCTGCGTTGCACTGCGTACTCAGTACTCAGTGGTATTGACGCACCTGGCCTCCACTGTTCAATCCCAGAAGTGGAGCCCGTTCCGGATGGCAGGCTATGCTCACGCGACCCTGTTTTCCCACGTTAGGTTCAGTCCATCGAGGCCAAGCTGGACTGCCTGCTCGACATGTACCAGCAGGTCCTCCGGAAGGGCTCCGCCTCCGCCCTCACTCTGGCCTCCTTCCAGGTCCCACCCTTTGAATGTGAACAGACATCCGACTATCACAGCCCCGTGGACAGCAAAGACCTGTCCAGTTCCGCACAGAACAGCGGCTGCTCGTCCAGGTCGGCCAGTGCCAACATCTCTGGGGGCCTGCAGCTCATTCTGACTCCAAACGAGTTCAGCGCTCAGACTTTCTATGCGCTCAGCCCTACTATGCACAGTCAAGCCACGCAGGTGCCGGTGAGTCAAAGTGACGGCTCAGCAGCGGGGGCCCCCAACAGCATCGCAAACCAAATACTCGCCGCCCCCAAGCCAGCAGCGCCAGTGACCTTACAGATCCCGCCCCCTCTCCCGGCCAGCAAGCAGCTGCCGGGACCAGAGGCCCTGCACCCGAACCCCGCAGGCTTCCAGGAAAGCGTCTCCGATGTCTCCACCTGCCTTGTGGCCTCCAAGGAAGGTGTCCGGGCCGCGCAGTCCAGTCTGGCCAAGGACCGCTCTCCAAGGAAAAGCTTCGACACAGGAGGAGAAACTCTGCTGTCCGTCCGCCCCGTGGTGCCCAGGGACTTGGGCAAGTCTCTGTCTGTACAAAACCTGATCAGGTCGACAGAGGAACTGCAGGTGCAGCTTTCAGGGAGCGAATCAAGTGGCTCCAGAGGCAGCCAGGATTTTTACCCCAAGTGGAGGGAATCCAAATTGTTTATAACTGATGAAGAGGTGGGTCCTGAAGAGACCGAGACGGACACTTTCGAGGCAGAGCCGCAGGCGGCCAGGGCAGCCGCGTGTGCATCGGACTCTCTGCGGCCCGGCAGGTCGCGGTCATCTCAGAGCGTCTGTAAGGCCGGAGAAAGTGTAGATGTCCTCAGCTTGCCGCCCGTCAAGCTGAAATGAGTCCTTCGTTTTCCTTCTAGGCATAGCGGTTCTTCAGCCACACACGGCACTGCATGAACTACTCTGAAAGCCCTTCTAAGAGGTTAAACAGTGAGAATCGGAAAGAACCCGATTGGTGGTGTGGAAGCCCCTTATCTTTTAACTGCATGAAAATGCATGTTTAGGGATGGCTGAAAGTCAGGGTACAGCGACATGAAGCCCCCCATTTAGGGACGTACCTTGAGTTAAGCATCCTGAGAAATGGAACACTGCTAATGCCACGGGGAGTGTGAGAATGTCAAGATGAGACCAGTTCGAAGATCTGAAAGCGGGAGTAACCACCCTCAGATTGCAGGAATTTCTGCTTCGTGATTAAGTACAATATACATTTCCAAAATCAGGCCATAATGTATATTTCAAAACACAATGGCTATCATCAACAGCTGCTAACAAGGTACCGAGTAAAGCAGAATTTGGGAATAGAAATGGCTGCTTATCTCAAGATGCATTTGCCAGCCCATTCCTACCCGGTCATTGTATTATGAACGTCGTCGGAATGTCCGTGCGCGTGCTTCCCGTGAGGTGGCGTGTGGCACGCGGCTTTGCACACCACGCTTATGTTGTTCTTTATGACGAGAATGTTGTTCAAGTAGCCGATGTGCATATAATGACCTTCAGGGCCAGTGGGGCAAACGGACTGACTGCTCGGCACCCTGACTCCCTGGGCACTATTCCCTGTGGCCGAATCACCTTCACACATGGGCGACGAGGCACTGACCAGCGGAAGGGCCAGTGTGCGGGGGCCATCCCCCCGCAGCAGAGCCACCCCAGGCAGACGCTGCCTGTACAAAGGGGAGTGACTACAAGCTGATCCCGCTAAGCTGAGGTACAGGCCGGGTCCCCGAGAATGGGACATTTGAGTGAGACTGCTGGGGGAGGCTTGGAATGAATCCAGACACAACACCAGGAAGTAGGTGACGTTAAAAGAAGATGATGTCCCCCTCAAATGGCAAGGGGAGAGAGACAAACCAAAATAAAAGTATCCGATTTTTTAGAAAATGAATATTGTAGGGACTCCAACTACCTAAACATCCCTTATTCTTATATATAAACAGAGACTTCTGCAAGGTATTTATTTTTTAAGAGGCCCTGAATGGTTTTTGCTATTATGTAGTACATTTTGCACAGGAAAGGCTACAGCTAAACGTGCTTTACTTTTTATACTGTCATGAACATTCTCCGTTTTCCCCAAGACTGTTGCCCCAAATCTGAAGTTACTGGTCCCGTTTCCTGGTGTAAACATGCACAGTTGGAGGGCAGGGAAGCCCGGCAGGGCCGCACATCAGAACACTGGACCGCACATCGGAGCAGCCAAAAGAGCACGGGAACCAAACCAAAGACGTCGTCGGCCGAGAGCAAGCGATGCTGCCGGCCTGTCGGAACCAGGGTGGCCCGCTCAGCCCGGCAGAACTTCGGCCATGGTGAGGATAACAGAACAGAACCTCAGCTCAGCTCAACTCCAGCCCAGAAAGAGTTCAAGAAGCATATTCCCCGGGCATGGTGCTGCCTCCAGGAAAACTCCGCCAGCAGCCAGGAAAAACAGCAGGGGTGTGGATGGCTGTCCCGAGGCAGGAGGGGACTGACCCCACCAAGCCCGCCCAGCTCTCTCCCACAGCCAGCTCCGTCCACCCTGGGCTCTCCCCTCTTCTCTTCTCCATTAGCTGCTCAGCCCTTCCCTGCCTCCAGTTAGGAGCTCACCGGGCCTTAGCCAGCCTCCATCCCCAAGCAAACCACCCCTCTCTGCTCCACCTAAAATGTGCTTCTCAGCCTTTTAAAATCTCTGCCCCTTTTGATAAACTCTGAAATGTTAACAGCTTCTTCTTCTCACCCACCTGGATTCCGGCACACTCCCCTGGAGAGTGTGATTCAGAATCTTCTCAGCTGCTGGAGGCACACGGAACATAGAGTCTAAATTTTACACTCCAGTTAGAAAGGTTTTGTCAAGCTTTTAAAGCAATTGTTTTCATTTCTGAAAGAAACAGGATTTTAGTCAATTATTAAATGCTTTTCATCTACCCATGTCTCCACTCAACGTGAAGTTGTGATACAGCCTCCCAAGGAGGTTGTACACATACACACACACACACACACACACACACACACACACTCCACTGACCAACAGCCAGGTACCCGCCTGCCCTCGGCGGGCTCTCTCCAAATATGACTCCAGGAAAAGGTGGGAGGCAGCAGCTTTCAGGGAGCAGTGATTCTTGGACACACTCTGTCCTGGGTCAGACCCCACTGGCAGCAGAAATTCTGAATGTACTGGGGACCCCTCCTCAGGCCTCCGTGGGCCTCAAACACAGTGCAGTTCATCCAGCATTGCTAAAGGCAAAGACACAGAAACAAAACCTCACCGCGTCACTGAGGTCTTAACCATAGCAAGACGTGATGAACCGTGTGGTGAAAAACTCCACTGAAGCCATGACCATTTTGTGTCCACCTTACTCACGCACAGAAATTCTTGGATGTTCAGAGAGCTGTAATGTGTGAGAGCTCTAGGGTTTTGTCTGTTGGGTTACTCTCTGTGTTGCTGAGAGGGGGGTCTCCCATTTACACTTAGCAAAGCCCCGTTGGTCAACCCCAAATGGTGTCTTGGGGCACAGGGTAGGAGCCCTAAGTAGCCATGTGCTCCCAGCTCAAGTTCAATACGCAGGCTTGATCGCGCTAACACTTACCTGCAAACACCCTTTCTAGGAGCTAAGGTTTTTGCTATGTCTGAGCTAAATGTTTGCATTTTGTTCAACTCAATGAGTATCTGTAGATTGCAAGTTTTGTTTAAAGTAAGACACTTTGAGTTTTCAAGTCTATCTCCTGCTCTAAGGTGCCTTTCTCACCTCCCTTTGACTCAGTGATTCTGAAAGTTCCTAATTTGCAGGTAAACAGGTCTAGTAGAGGGAAAATCAGGCACAAAGTGACTAAGTCTTATGCCCATTTGCAAAGCAAAATATAAGAAAGGGTGAAACCTTTGCAACTAAGTTAATGAATCATTCATTCAACCAGTTTGAGAAAAGTGTCATAAATATTAACTTATCTCCCCAGAAGCTGATATTTTTTGCCTTAAATGACTTGGTTGTGTTTTTGTAAAAGAAACTTAATTTAATATAATTATGTGCATTTAAGTGAGCAGTTCTAAAAGTCAAGTATGACAATACAGTTGTCTGTTTCCTGAAAACAAATAAATCAGGAATATCATATCCATTTCAAGCTATCATTAAAATGTAATTTCCTTGGCTCTCTTTTACTGAGATTATTTGTTTTAAAGTAAAACATTAAAAAGATGTCTATAAACAGATGGTGTGACTGTTTTTATCTGGAACTATCTCGGTTGGTTTGGAACTGACTGGTCCCAGACAACAAAACTGTGTATACATTTGGCCTAAAAGATAAAAACTATCTTGTTGCAATGCTCCTGAAGAAATCATTGGTAAAGTTTGGGAATGGGGGAGATTTGCGAATGTTCCTAAGGGCATCATAAGAAAAATTAACTTGATATTTATCAAAACTCAGATACCAGTGCATGAGCTCTGTGCTAACTCTAGTAAAAGGGTTTGCTAAAGAGGGGATAGGGAATGGGGTTCAGGCAGGCACCCAGATGCTGAATGACCACTGGGGCACCTGCCCAGCTCTGCCTCACTGGGGGAGGGCTTCTCCCAAGGGATCCTTGCCTTCCTCCCAGAAAACTCCCAATCCTACCGTTCTAGCAGCAATTTTGCTCTAAGGGTCTATGCTTAATTCCCAGGCAATTATTGGGAAGTATGCTCAGAATGCTAGAACTCTGCCACACCAAGCAACAAGACCTTAGCAGAGGCATTTTAGACACAAGAAGAATGAGGTAGTGTTATTACCTGGAGGGTGACATGAGGGGACATCCCACCACGGCTCTAATGAGATCAAACAGGGATGCGCCTATCCTTCCACCTTCTAGAGAGAAGTGAAAATAAAACTGTGGAAGGAACGTCCTTGTTTGACCAACTGAACAGTATAAACTGCTCCCAAACACCTTTGAGCTACGTTAGCAGTGCCCCTCCCCCCACCCTTTAAAAGCAAAATATGCTTATGACAATTATTCTACCCTAACCATTGATAAAAATAGGTTCCCAGACCTTGAAGCGGCAACTTTTCTTCAGCCTGGTTTCAACTGCTTCAGGAATGGGGTACAAGTAAAAACTGTTTCTTTAAAACATTTTTAATGTTAATTACAAGACGTCACCATCTAGCCTTTCTAAGTCCGGTTAGGATACAGATTCATGAACTGCCCTGGAAATCACAGCACCACAAAACCGGTGCGGGGCAAAAATCTTCCTCTTCAGGGAAAGAAATAGAAAATCCAAAGGTACATTGGCAAGATTTATTTCTTTGCCATTCGCATGATTTATTTCATTTCTGTCATGATTTTGGTGACTCTTTCAAGTCCGTATGCTCTCGGATAGGCCTCGGGGTCCCAGCACCTCCATACACTGGCACAACCCCGTACCCGCTGTACGCCTCGCTCCTCAAGTGGCGCTCATCTCTCCAGTGCCACCCCTTCCTTCTCCCTGCCTACGTGATGTGGCCTCGCCACCGGAGCCTGGACGGCCTGTGCCTGCTCATCCCCGGGACCCCAAGGACCCAGGGACTCTCACTCCCTCCTGCTGCAGCTCAGGGAGCCGCTCGCCCACATGGGGGCCGTGGGGACGTCACGCCACACATGCCCCAGGTCATAAGTGCTTGTGAGCATCTCTGAAGCGAACCATTGATAAAAATTGGTTCCCAGACCTTGAAGTGGCAACTTTTCTTCAGCCTGGTTTCAACTGCTTCAGGAATGGGGTACAAGTAAAAATAAATGCTTGTGAGCCCCCTGGGCAATTCCTTCCACCTTGGGCTACCGAGTGCCCCGCAGCTGCTTGGGGGCGGGGAGGCTTCTGCCGCCCCACCCGGGAGCTCCTTGCCTCCAGGGAATCCTAGCTCTTCTGCTCTGGACCCTGAGCCCCCCCGCTGTCTCTGTTACCCCTTCCTGCCCCGTATCTGCAGCGTCTCGCTGTTGCTTTCCCCTCATAAACGTGTGAGCCCATCCCATGGTGCCAGTACCTCTAGAATTTACCTTCCCCTTTATTTTAGTCTACATCTCCCATTGTTCAAGCTACATCTGACCTCTGACACAGAGGCTAAGGTGCTGACCCCCTACAGTCAATGATCCGCATATGAATTTTAATTCCCAAAAAACTCAACTACTAATAGCCTACTTTAGACTTACCAATTCCATGAACTGTTGACACAAAACCTATTATTGTGTACGTCACATGTATTATATATTCTTACACTAAAGGAAGCTAGAGAAAAGATTTTTCTGTCACAAATCTCCGAAGTATTTTCCAATATATTTATTGAAGATAATCCAAGTATACGTGGACCTGCACAGTTCAGACCCTTGTTGCTCGCTGGCCGACCAGCCTTAGAAACTACATTCCATGAGGTGGTTCCATTTCGGCAACATGGTGCCCAGCAGGTGGCCGTCGGACCCACGCCCACCCGGCACCCCAGACACACGGCCCCAGGGCCCCCGCGCCCTTCCTGAGTCGGCTCGGCAGCACCGTCACCCCGCACCCCTCTGGCCTAAGGCAGGTGACACCGCGCCCCCATTTGTCTCAGAACTGCTTCCCAGCTCCCCAGACTTGTCCGATGGATCCCTCCGCGCCGTCCCGACCCCTTGCTGCTCCTGTCACCCACTGCCAGCGCCCTCGGGTCCCACCGTCCACTCCCTCCCTCCAGTGCCCCGGGGCCTCCCACGGCAGCACCCCCTGCTGATGCGGGGCCACCCAGCCACGTGTCCGCGCCCACATTTCCCTCCCGAGCGTCGCCTCTAAATGTCACCTCCTGGGCTCAGAGTCGCCGCAGATGCCCCAGCCTGAAACTGCTCGAGGGCAGAGGCGGCTCGGTCTGTGGCCGCCCAGACCCCTCGCAGGGGTGCCCCGGAGGCACGCGTGTCAGCCCCCAACCCCCGCCCTCCTGCCGGCTCTCAGCGGCCCCCCGCCCCTCACCTCACAGGAGAGCAACCACGGCTCAGCCCCAGGGTGTCTCAGAGTCGCTCTGTTGCTTTTCCCAAAGGTCTTTCCACGTTTCCAAAAGGGCCTGGGAAGAAATTAACCGATGCCAGAGAGTGAGCAACCGTGTATCTGCAGGACTGGGGCACAGCCCCTCTCGCACCCCCACCTCGGCCCCAGCATCCCAGGCCCCTGTCCTTCTTCTGTCCCTCAAATGTAAACGGCTCAGACTCCAGAAATGACGCGACACCCAGGCTTTGCCGGCAAGCCAGGAGGACGAACTTCTCCCAAACTTCTCTGCAGGCTCCGAGGGAAAGAGGCAGTGCAGTCTTGCCTCCCTGGGCCCTGAGCCCCGGAACACCACAGCCCTGCCCACCTCTCCTCACTCCACACCCAACCAGTGCCAGGCCCAAGCAGCCAGAGACGGCCTACAGACTCTTTGGGTCCCAGGCTTTAAGTAACAGCCTGTGCTCAGTACTGCCCAGGGCTGTGCCAATAAATGCTTCCCAAGTATGACTTCTTGGAACCCTCGCCACGTTAAGCACAGGTAAGGCACCAGGACGCACTGGGCCACAGGTGTAAGAAAACACCGGCCAAAACAGCCTTAAACATAAGGACACTCTATTATCTAATCTAACTACAGTCCGGAGCTAAGGCGCCTCCAGGCAGGGTACGATCTACATGATCAAGGGCCCAGGTTCTTTCTGTCTCTGTTGTTCTCCTTGTCTGCAGGGGGCCCTTGGTGGCTCTCTCACTGTCCATAGGAGGCCACCAGTGCTGGTGAGGACGCAGAGAAAAGGGAGCCCTCCTGCACTGCTGGGGGGAGTGTAAGTTCGTGCAGCCACTATGGAAAGCAGCATACAGGTTCCTCGGAAAACTAAAAACTGAAATACCACACAACCCAGGAATTCCACTCCTAGGAATTTACCCAAAGAAAACAACATTTCTGATTCAGAAAGTTATCTGCACCCCTATGTTTATTGCCATATTATTTACAATAGCCAAGATATGGAAGCAGCCTAAGTGTCCATCAGTACATGACTGGGTAAAGAAGATGTGGTACATATACACAATGGAATATTATTCAGCCACAAAAAGAAAAGAATTCCTGCCATTTGCAACAACATGGATGGAGCTAGAGGGTATTATGCTCAATGAAATAAGCCAGGCAGAGAAAGACAAGTACCAAATGATTTCACTATTTGTGGAATCTAAAAACAAAGCAAAACAGAATGAACAAAACAGCAGCAGATTCATAGACAAACACTGAGAAAGGACTAGTGGTTACCAAGGAGGAGGGGTTGCGAGGGTAGGAGGGGAGGGGAAGGGAATAAAGGGGCACAAAAATCCTCCGTCGTAACGTAAGCTGGTCACGGGACGGTGGTACAGCAGGGAGAACACAGCCAGCGACTCCATAACATCTTCCTATGTTGACAGACAGTAACTGCACTAGTGGGGGTGGGGATTTAATAATATGGGTAAGTGTTGAACCACCGGTTTGTATACTTGAAACCATTATAAGATTATATATCAATGATAGTTCAATAAAAAGAAAGAAAACAAAAATATTAATTTTTCTTAAAAAAGAGTCCAGCAGAGGCAGTTGGTGCCACACACCTCCTGGATTACACCTAACAGGAGAGGGGAGTAGTTGGGCAGCCCTCCACCCAAGTGTGGAGTGTGAATCCTTCCAGACACCTGAGTAGATGAATATGGGTCACGTGCTTGCTCCCGCAGCTGCTAAGAGTCACTGCGCACACTCGGACTGGCTCTCGCTTCGGAACTAGGGAAGTAGGGAAGACTTACAAACTATTGTTCTGCTAGAAGAAAGGTGGTAACTGGGGGAGAGTGTAGGAGGAAAAATTATATACATTTACTCTACCTGTAGTTACAGGAGTTGCTATTCGATACGAAAACAAATGCACTGAGATATCAGTAACTTGCCAAAGGCCATAAAGCCATTCAGGGATAGGATTTCAATGCATGTACTCTCACTTCAATGTCTGAGATATTAATTCCTACAGTAATACCTGAGTTGTGCTCACACAGAAATCTTTGGTGACTGGGATTTTGAGATCAGAATTACATCCCCAAGAAGGCAGAATGATAACTTGATAACTTGATAATTCTTGGGGTGAAACTTGAGAGGGAAATAACCCTTTTGCAAGTGTCTTTAACACACACACACACACACACACACAAAAGTTTTCCCTCTACTTCAGGAGCCATTTTTCTTTATTGATTAGGAAGCATGATATTCTCCTTGAA